TGAATGACACACTGGACCAGGTGGACTTAACAGATACATTCAGAACATTCCATCCTAAACAGCAGAATATAAATTCTTTCAAAGTGCACATGGAACATTCTCCAGAATAGATCACATATTAGGTCACAAATAAGGCCTCAACAAATACAAAAAGATCGAGATCATACCATGCATCTTTTCTAACCATAATGCTAAGAAATTTGAAGTCAACCACAAGAAAAAAATCTGGAAAGACCACAACTACATGGAGATTACACAACATGCTACTAAAGAATGAATGGGTCAACCAGGAAATCAAAGAAGAAGTAAAAAACAGTATATGGAAAGAAATGAAAATGAATATTCAATGGTCCCAAGTCTTTGGGATGCAGCAAAAGTGATCCTAAGAGGTAAACTTATTGCAATACAGGTCTACCTCAAGAAGCCAGAAAAATCTCAAATAAACAATCTAATCTTACACCTAAGGGAGACAGAAAAAGAACAATGAATAAAACCTAAAGCCAGCAGAAGGGAGGCCATAATAAAGATGAGAGCAGAAATAAATGATATAGAAATTAAAAAACAATAGAACAGATCAATGAAATGAGGAGCTGGTTCTTTGAAAAAATTAATAAAACTGATAGACTTATCAAAAAGAAATGAGAAAGGACCTAAATAAATAAAATCAGAAATGAGAGAGGAGAAATAACAATCAATACCACAGAAATACAAACAATTATGAGTATATTATGAAAAACTATGTGCCAAGAGGTTGGACAACCTGGAAGAAATGGATAAATTCCTAGAAACATAAACTACCAAAACTGACCCAGGAATAAATAGAAAACTTGAACAGACCAATAACAAGCAGAGAAATTGATTCAGTAATCAAAAGAGCTCCCAACAAACAAAAGTCCAGGGCCAGATGGCCTCACAGGTAAATTCTACCAAACATTTAAAAAAAGAGTTACTAGCTATTCTCCCCAAACTTTTCCAAAAAATAGAAATGGAAGGGAAACTTCCCTATTTATTATATGAGGGCAGCATTACCCTGATACCAAAACCAGACAAAGACTCCACCAAAAAAGAGAACTACAGGCCAATATCCCTGATGAACATGAACACAAAAATTCTCAATAAAGTACTAGCATATTGTATCCATCAGTACTTTAAAAGAATCATTTACCATGATTAAATGGGATTTGTTCCTGGGCTCCAAGGTGGTTCAATATTTGTAATCAATCAATGTAATACACCATATTAATAAAAGAAAGGATGAGAACCATATGATCATTTCAATAGTTGCATAAAAAGCATATGACAAAATAGAGCATCCATTCATGATAAAAACCCTCAACAAAGTAGGGGGAACATACCTCAACATAAAAAAAGCCTTATATGAAATACCGACAGCTAACATCATCCTCAATGGGGAAAATCTAAGAGCTTTTCCTCTAAAGTCAGAAACAACACAGAGATATCCACTCTCACCACTGTCATTTACCATAGTACTGCAAGACCTAGCCACAACAATCAGACAACAGAAAGAAATAAATGGCATCCAAATCAGCAAGGAAGCAGTCAAACTTTCACTATTTGCAGATGACATGATACTCTTTATAGAAAACCCAAAACCTCGACCAAAAAAAATGCTGGAACTGATACACGAATTTAGTAAAGCCATAGGATACAAAATCAACATACAGAAATCTGTTGCATTTCTATACATGAATAATGAAGCAGCAGAAACAAATCAAAGAATCAATCCTATTTACAATTGCACCAAAAACCATAACATACCTAGGAATAAACTTAACCAAAGAGGTAAAAGGCCATACTCTGCAAACTATTAAGCACTGCTGAAAGTAATTGAAGATCACACAAAGAAATGGAAAGACATCCCATGCTCATGGACTGGAAGAACAATACTGTTAAAATGTCTATACTAAAAGTAATCTATACATTTAATGCAATTTCTATCAAAATATCAACAGCATTTTTCACAGAGCTAGAACAAACAATCCTAAAATTTGTAGGGGATACAAAAACCCCAAATAGCCAAAGCAACCTTGAAAAAGAAAAGCAAAGCTGGAGGCATCACAATCTCAGACTTCAAGTTATATTACAAAGCTGTAGTGATCAAAACAGTATGGCACTAGCTCAAATATAGACACAAAGATCAATGGAACAGAAAAGAAAACTGAGAAATGAACCCAAAACTATATGGTAAATTAATCTTTGACAATGTAGGAAAGAATATTTAATGGAAAAAAGATAGTCTCTTCAAGAAATGATGCTGGGAAAACTGGACAGCAACAGGGAAAAGCATGAAACTGGACCACTTTCTTATACCATACACAAAAATAAATTCCAAATGGATTAAAGATCTAAATGTGAGACCTGAAACTGTAAAAATTCCTAGAGGAGAACACAGGCAGTAACCTCTTTGACATCAGTGGTAGCAACTTCTTTCTAGATATATCTCCTGAAGCAAGGGAAACAAAAGCAAAAATAAACTACTGGACTTCATCAAAATAATGCAAACTGGTGCAGCCACTCCGGAAAACAATATTGAGATTCCTCAAAAAGTTAAAAATAGAACTACCCTGTGATCCAGCAATTGCACTCCTAGGTATTTACCCAAAGAATACAAAAATACATATTCAAAGAGATTCATGCACACCAATGTTTGTAGCAGCATTATCTACAATAGCCAAATTATGGAAACAGCTCAAGTTTCCATCAACTGACGAATGGATTAGGAAGATGTGGTACACACACACGCACACACACACACATGCCATGGGATATTAATCAGCCATAAAAAAAAAATGAAATCTTGCCATTCATAATGATATGGGTAGAGCTAGAGAGTGCTGGGTGAAATAAATCAGAGAAAGAAATATACCATATGATTTCACTCATGTTTGGAATTTAAGAAACAAAACAAATGAGCAAAGTGAAAAAAAAAAAGAGGGAAAAGGCAAACCAAGAAATAAACTAAACTATAGAGAACAAACTGATGGTTATCAGAGAGGTAGGTCGGGGGAGGGTGTTAAATAAGTAATGGAGAGAAGGAGTGCACTTGTTGAGCACTGGGTATTGTACGAAGTGTTGAGTCACTATATTGCACACCTGACACTAATATTATACTGCATGTTAACTAACTGGAATTTAAATAAAAACTTAAAGAAATATAAATACCCAATAACTATTAAAAAAAAAAAAAGACCCATAAATAGTGAACTGTGGTTTCCAGAGGGGCAGGGGTTGGGGGATGGGCAAAATGGGTAAAGGGTAGTGGAAGGTATACGTTTCCAGTTATAGAATGAAAAAGCAAGGTGATGAAAGGTATAGTATAGGGAATATAGTCAATGGTATTGTAATAGAGCTGTATGGTGACAGATAATAGCTATACTTGGGTGCATAGCATAATGTATAGAGTTGTCAAATCATTATGTTGTACACTTGAAACTACTGTAACATCATGTGTCAACTATGCTACAATAAGAAAAGGGTAAAACAAAACAGTTCAGTCTCAATAATGAATAATAACTGAAATCTAAAGCATTAAGTAACAAATTTTATCTATTAATTTGATTAACATTTTAAATAATTAATACTACTGAGGGTATAGATAATGACTTTCAAACACTGCTGGTAGTATCTTTCTGCAAAGCACTTTGACAATTTATATCAAGAGACTTACAAATGTCAATGTCTTTGAACGCAGTAGTTTCATCAGAAAACACACAATGGTTGATATACACAGATATCTATTATAGCATTATTCATAGCTGAGAACTGGAAATAGCCTAAATATTGAATGGAGAACTATTTAAGTAAATTCCAAATGATGGACTATTATATAGCCTTTAAAATATTTCCCATAATATAGGAAAATATTATTAGTATAGTATTAAATATAAAACTCATAAAAAACACCATATATTCTGTTGTACAAATTTCATGTGCATATATTTCTACAGAAGAAAAGACTTAAAAAGTCAAAATGATTATAGGTATCTGAAATTAAGATTTTTAATACTTTCAGTATTTATAAACTTTATATAGTGGTATCAATTAACAATTATTAACTTTTTCTTCAAATAAGTAAGGTAATCATCAGACTTAATCTCTTAATCTCTTCCATTTTTTAAATCAATTCTGAGCAGGATAGAAAGCATATCATAGGCCTCAATCTTAACAGTCCAAAGATTCAGCAAAGTGCCATTGATTAGGATTCCATGTAGCTTCCAAGTCAGCTTCACTACACAGTCTTGACAGTGTGTGTGTGTGTGTGTGTACTACTACCTGCCTTCCAAGTATTGAATGCCACTTAAAAATATCATTGATCTGCCCCGCCTCCATATTAATCCTGTTATGAACTGAAACATTCCTCAACTTGCCTTACTCTGTTGATTCCAACAGTACCCTCCAAAATTTTGACCTCATTATCCTATATATAAAAACCATTTGAACACAGAACTCTACTAGCCTTATATTTATTTTTAAATGTGTATGTATTACTGTTAATATACTATATAACTTATCCAAAATTTTTAAAAATATAAAGAATATGATAAAAAGTATAAATGGAAGTTCTATTATTTTGCTTCTAAACCTAATGGGTCATTTTAAAACACCCTAAGATATATGGCCCTACTATGGAGATGACAGCTACAGACCACACTTTCCAATCCCATCTCCTTCCCATATTGCATCTGGAACCATGTTCTGAAATTCCAGAATGCCTTAGACTTGAGTCAACTCAGACTATCACAATATTCATAACAGAACTCACTTGTACAATGTGAAGAATCATATCTTCCCATGCCTTTTTGTCTCTTGGCAAAATCTGGACAATTATATGTAAATATTGCATATAGTATAGTATAACTACATTTATATTATTATTGTTGCTATCTGTCAGTAATGATTACTACTACTGTGACTGTGACCACTTTACTGTCATATGTGTCATAATATTATTCAGTTCTTTTAGATGTTTCAGTATATACCTCTGCAGGTTTTTGAAGGTTATCATGGCATGGAGCAAGAAGGGATGTCTTCTCCCATTTCTGTGCAACTTGATTGGCTTCTTCTATCTTCTGATCACAACTTTTTTGAGAATTTAGCAACGTCACCTCATAAAATTCTTGAATATCTGTGAAAAAATGTAAGGGAAGGATCAAATGTCATGTACCATCACATAAATAGCTTCTGCATGTATGTATATATGAAAAATTTTTCTGACTAAAAGAACTACATACATGTGACCCCAAAGAAAAATAACAAAAATAAGGAAATCTTGAAAATTGCATTTTTATCTGCATGAGAATTCTTTATTTGTAATTGCAAAAACTGGAAACAACCAAGATGTCCTTCAATCATTGAATAAACAAGTTGTAGTAAGTCCATATTCAGCAATAAGGAGGAATGAGCTATCAATCCATGTAAAAACAGATGAATCTTAAATGTTAAGTTTAAACATCTGGTCTAAAAAAGCTACATATTATATGATTCCATTTGTATAATATTTTAGAAAAAGCAAAACTAAAAAGACAGTAAAATGATCAGTGATCACTAAAGGTACTGGGGGTGGGGAAAAGGATTAAATAGGTAAAGCACAGGGTGATGAAAATATTCTGTAGTGATACTGCATTGGTGGACACCTAATATGAAGCATTTGTTAAAGCCCATAGAACTTTACAGCACAGAGAGTAAACCTTAATGTATGAAAATTAAAAAAAAACATTTAGGAGGTCAAGGAATCCTAAGATGAAACACAGACTGTGACAAAAGAATCTAACTGTATTACAAATGTGTGAAATAACCTCCCTGAAGGCAGTAGGAGAAAAAGGTAGTATCCTGAAAATGAGTAGAAACCATAAAACCAAAGACAAAGGAATTATTACAAAAGAATCCTACTCTATTCTTTAGTCAACAAATTTGTTTCCCATGATGAGTGAAAGTTAGCAACTTTGGAACCACTGTACATATATATTAGAATTCAACAATTAAATGGATGGTAGATGGTGGGAACCAGGTTTCTCACTATTGGAGTAGGAGTTTACAAACAAGTAGGTGGGGACAGGTGAGAGGAGGGCACTAGAATGATCCCTATGATTTTGGGTTATATTTTGAGACACCACTATAAACTCCTGTTTAGCTTAATATGGGTACAAATGGATACGTATAGAAATATTTATAGATCTGTATGTACACAGGTTAATACACACACATATATTTTCTTACTTGGTATGCTGAAAGGACCTAGAATTAATGAAGCCCCAGTAAGAATGAACACAATTAATATCCAGATTTTGGCCTCTATTTTGCATTCTCCAACAATTGGTAAAGAATAATGAATAAATAAAGTGGTACTGGATTAGGATTGGCACTATCTATATGAATTCAAACATTTTTAAAGGAAGGGAGGGAGGGTGGAAGGAAGGAAGTGAAGAAGGAAGAGGAGGAAAGGAAGAAGGGTTAGGAGTGAGATGGATATAGAAAACTATGAATAGAAATAAAAATGATGATGTATGTATATGTTTCCTAGCTTTGTCATGTATTTGTAGGCTGAGAGGGCCTAGCAGGAAAAACAATCCAATAGCAACAAGCACACCTGGAGCCTAGATCATGGCTTGAATAAAAGGTATCAGGGCTTCTTGAGAAAATGGTTGACTCTATTACTGAAGCAGGAAAAACAGTAAGATGAGCTTAGAGTATCTTGCAATACCCATAAATGAGAAAACACTACCCCCCCCAAAAAAACCCTGCTACAATGGGGGCATGTCAAAACAATATAAGAGTTATAAGAAGGAGCAGACAAAGATGGCCAGTAGTATTGGCTTATAACCCAAAGTATAAAATAAATACCCATGAATCTATACTGGTATATGCATACATGTATGAATAAATGAAGGAATAAATGTATGTAGATATGTAAATAGACAATCTCCCTTGATGAAGAGTTCCAAGTAATTTATTTAGATACTGTTCTCAAGGAGATGAAGCATAACTTTCCACCCCTTAAGTGTGAGCTGTGCATACTGACTTCCTTCCAAAGAATATAGTATTAAAAGGGGGAAAACAAGGGGTGCCTGGGTGGCTCAGTTGGTTAAAAGGGGGAAAACAAGAGTAACTTTACAGAGGTGAACCCCAATAAACACTAACTCAATCAAGTGATCAAGACCAACATTATCATTGAAGAGTCAGGCTGATAGCAAGCAACCTATAGAAGTAATGAGAATGGCACTTTACCTCTGTGGTGTTCCTCCCCAAAACTCATAACCCTAATCTAATCATGAGAAAGACAGAAAAATCCTAGTTGAGGAACAGTCGACAAAAAAACTTTACCAGTACTCTGTAAACTGTCAAGATAATAAAAAATGAGGAAAGTCTGAGAAATTGTCACAGTCTAGAAGAGCCCAAGGAGACACGAGAAATAAATGTAATATGGTAACCTAGACGGGATCCTGGAACAGAAAAAGGACATTAGCTAAAAAGTATGGACTTAATTTCATAATAATGTATCAATATTTGTTATTAGTTGCCACAGTAAATCTAAGATGTTAACAATAGGAGAAAGAGAGTCTGGGATACATTGGAGCTCTCTGTACTATCTTTGCAACTATTCTGTAAGCATTAAAACTACTCCAAAATAAAAGTTATTTTTAATTGCCTTTTTATTTTTTAAAAGATTTTATTTATTTATGTGTCAGAGAGAGAGAGGGCCACAAGCAGGGGGAGCAGCAGGCAGAGGGAGAGGGAGAAGCAGGCTCCCTGCTGAGCAAGGAGCCCAATGCCGAACTCCATCCCAGGATCCTGGGATCATGACCTGAGCCAAAGGCTGATGCTTAACTGATTGAGCCACCCAGGTGTCCCTTTAATTGCCTTTTTAAAAGGCATTACATACAGGCATCTGGGTGGCTCAGTCAGTTAAGTTTCTGACTTCACTTCAGGTCATGATTTCAGGGTCCTGAATTGAGCCCCCATCATATTGGGCTCCCTGCTCAGTGGGGAGTCTGCTTCTCCCTCTTCCTCTGCCCCTACCCCCAGCTCATATGCACACACTCTATCTCTCAAAAAAATAAATAAAATCTTTTTAAAATAAATAAATAAAAGGTATTACATAATCACTATTAGAAACCTGCCCAAAGGGCCCCAAAATGAATGCTTTCATAAATCCATTTTCAGATTTAGAATGTAAATGGGACTAAAAATTATCACACAAAGTTACATTTTGCAACTTTCTAATATATGAAAAAAGTGTTTTTGATGACATCTGCTTCTGACACTATGGCTGACTAAGTGCTCTTCAGATTAACTAGGCACTTTGAAATATTACTGATGTTGCAGCAGATGGGGTAGGTCTCCAAGAATGATTTTTCACATATACACACACACAAAAAAAAACCTGAGCTGAAATCAGATCAGCTGGGAGGTTGGATTAATGGTAGTTGACATACAAAAGGGATGGGGTTGTTCTGAGAACACACACCTATGGCAGAATTATTACTATCAGCATACAGAGCCTCATATCAGTAAGTAAAGGTAAGGAAGCTGGCCCTGAACTTCCTCACTGAGCCAAGATCCTCAAGGGATTCTGAAGTAATTCTATGATGGTGGCTCCCTATTTGCTACTGGCAGCAGCAAAAGAAAATATTTTCTATAGGAAATCTCAAAGCGGCAGGACTCTCATAGATGAGGATCAAGAAAAGAGCTCATAATCAAGATCACAAACCAACAGAAAGGCATGTCAATATAAATGAAATTTAGCAGCAACAACAAACAGTAGGTTACATGCCCAGTTATTATTGGTTTTGGACTTTTCTGATATAGAACAAAAAAAAACTATGTAAAGTGTTGATGGCCATACTCACAAAGCTGAGCAAATAACAAGACCTAGTAAGAGTGAACAAGCAAAATGAGAAGAAACAAATGTAACTTCTAAAAATTAAAAATATAATTCTTTAAAAATAGATTAATGGATGGCTAGAGGCATGGATTGATATAATATATAACAAATATAATAAAATGCTAATGATAAAATCTATGTGGTAGGTGTACAGATACTCACTGTAGTATTCTTATAATTTTGCTGTTTGAAAACTTTCATAATAAAATGTTAGAAAAATGTATAATTATTTAAAGTTAAAAATTCAGTGGATGGGTTAAACAGCAGATTAAACAAAGTAAAACTGGGAAATATTCCCAAAGAAATTAGCCAGAATTCATCATAAGAGAAGGTTAAATAGAATATATGAAAGTATTAATTGACTATGTACAGGATGGATAAGTCCAATATTTTTCTAATAGATGTCTTCAAGGAGAAAATAGAATAAATAACAAGTGATATTTAAAGAGATAATGGATATAAAATTTTTAGAACTTATGAAAATATGAATTCAGATACTGAAAATAGCAGCTTATATGAAAGAGAATAAATAAAAGCTATGAACATACCATAATAAAATTGCAGAATACCAAAGACAAAGCAAAGATCATGAAAGCAGTCAAAGAGAAAAGACTAATCAGACTTCTCAAAAGCAATAATTGAAGCCAGACAACAGTAGAATAACAACTTCAAAATTTTGAGAGAAAATAACTACGAACATAGAATTGTTCATTTGCAAATCATATATATGATTTAAAAAAACTTGTATCTAGAATATATAAAGAACTCTCAAAACACATATGAAACCAAACAATCCAATAGAAAAATGGCCAAAAGATTTGAACAGGAACTTCACTGAAAAAAATAATAGATGGCAAATAAACACATGAAAAGATATTTAGCATCATTAGTCACTAGGGAAATGAAAAATCAAAACCACAATGAGATACCTCTACATATTTATTAGAATGGCTAAAATTAAAAACAGTGATCATACCAGGCACTGATAGGGATGTGAAAGAAATGGAACTCTCATACTCTGATACTGAAAATGAAAAATGATACAACCACTTTGAAAAACAGTTTTTTCAGTTTCTTAAGAAGTTAAGCATACAACTAATGTATAATCCAACTATTCATGTTCTAGGCATTATCTAAGAGAAAAGAAAATATATATGTCGCTATGAAATGTCAAGTCTGGAAACAATCCAAATGTCCATTAATAGATGAATGAATAAACACATTTGGCATATCCATACAAAAGA